CAGAACTATAGATGCACAAGTTGGAGAACTACAGGCCAAAGGTTGCAAACTTGTCCCACTTTTTAATCCTGATAAAAAGGTTAATGATAGAAACAGGGCAATATAGAAAGAATTTTAATGTATTAATGTGAAATTTAAAGTGTTCTTGATGCACAGTTTTAACATTTATCACCTGGGCACCGTGCATCAAAAATAATAGGAATTTTGCACGAAGGCAGTAATTTTTTTTCAGTTCCTAACATATATCAACATTTTTTCTGTCGACTCCTCCTTACATGTACATTATAACCATACTAGTAAGAAATGTAAAGAATGTTAATAGAGCATTATTGCCTTTACTTGATCTACTCTTTAGAAGGTATGATTTCCAAAGTTATCCTGCAACAAAAATGACCCTCTGTTAGCCATTCCAGTTATAAATTAGGTTATATATGTATAAACATGTACCTGTTTTTCTGATTAAATTAACAACAGCAGCATGAGCAACTGAACAAGAAACGCTTTAATTTTGATACTCTAAATAAAAATGCAAGGAGTTCAATTAGTATGTCATCCTACAAGGTTAATATAGAGCACAATACATGTATTCCGAGAAATAAGTTATGTCTGTACAGCCACAAACTGCCATGACAAACACATTAGAAAAAAGACTGTCCAACAGTCTGTTACTCTGCGAAAATCAACTTCACTGATAAATCTCAGCGTGGTGCAAGATGTTAATAGAAAGGCAGTTACATTGCCCGAAATAATTGTCCGTTTATATGGATATATAGAATGTACCATATTATGTAAGTAGTACATTGTAAATCAATTTTATGTGATTTCTTTTATTGAATAACACAAGATTTAAAATTTTATCAAAATATCTGCGTGGTAAAACAATTTTAACTTACTACCCTAGCATGTGGTATTTAAAGATTGTATTGGTAATAGTACTACACACGTTCTGTACCATTACTCTGATTGCCTCGATATGCAGTCTTTTGAACATTATGTCATATTGGTGACCATAATCTATTTTACGGCTACACAGAGTATTCATCTCCAATAAAAACGGGTAGAAATCACCCGGTCGTTGTCAAATTTACGGTCTTGTTTGGTTACGCAACATTTGTTTCAAAAAAAAGATACAGATCTCCTTATATCAAACCCCGACACGGTCGACTTGTCTATGAAAAGGTGCAAGTTTATAAGGCGCGAATGCAGTCAACTCAACGATTCAAACATGATTTATTGCTGATTAATCAATTTATGCAAAATGGAGCATTAAACATAAAATCCAGAGAAAAAGTTCAATAGAAGAAAGAATTCAAACCTGACAATGCATGATCTGACGTTGATCTACATTCAGCCTGACGAATTTTTCATTCAAGCTAAATATATACTCCCAGTCATTATACACACGCTGAATTAAGTGATTTTTTTTTTGTTTTAGAAAAAAATTATATGTTAAAAAAGTAAAATGATTCTTAATAATAATCTCTGAAATGCAAACATCACTTAGGTACTTTTAACAATATTGTGATTGTTTCCAGTAGAGGAATATATAGATTTCCAGTTAAGTGTGCTTGTTCACCAAATGGTCTTCCAAAAGAAAAAAAAATGCCTAATTGTATTTTTATTTAACTCTTTTACTGTGCTTGACCAGAATGGTAAGAAAAATTGGCCAATGAATATTCTACATGAACTGACCGACTTCTTCACCAAAAATATCAAAACATACAATATTTGCAGGGAAAACTAAATGACTCTAATTACTTAGACATTGCTAGCCTGTGTGATTAAAACCAAAATAATTCGAGCCTATAAATGGGGTAAAATAGCAGCGTAATGATATCCTGCATAGTGAGCTCTATTAGAATGGTCTTGTAATGTAAACCAAATCGAGGTTTTATACATTATTTACTGTCGGTTAATCGTGTCGGTACTCGGGCCATGACTGAATGATAAAAGGCCACACAAATAAACGACTTTAACCACTGTCAAATTAACCAGCTTAAACTGCAGTAATGCATGAAAAAAACCGGGATTATACAGTAAGAAGCTTCCTGGAAGAGACAATTACGAAATCGTAAAGCGGGAAAAGATCGAAGATGAAAAGCATAAATCGCTAAATCGATTAACCCGACGTTGTAATATGTTAAACATCAATGGTAGAGAAGGCATCATACTGTAATCAATCAATTATGGAATATCTACTTTTTAAAAATATAATTCAGTTTCATGAAAATGGCGATAACGAAGAGTAATCACGCTTAAAAGTCCATTGTTACTATAACAAAATCGGGAGAAACAAAGACATCTAAATACAGCAAAGGGGAATCAGGTGTCATTGAGGAGTAAGCATACCTGTCACCGGTCATAACGGCTCATTGTCAGTTAAGATGGTACAAAACGGAAAATTCCAAAGACGAAGATTAGAGTAAATAATAGTCTAACAATTTGTATAAAAAAATGTCAATCAGAATTCGACCTATTGATTGTATATATGCAGACAAAGTCATTGTACATGAATCGACCATAGAATTTGAGAAATGTTAAATTAAACAAGATTCCTGATATGTTTGTTTCATCAATTTGTTTGTCATTAGCTTGCCTCATTTTAGATATTGTTGGTACATGTATTTAGAGAAGGCTCTTACGTATTAAATAAACTTTGTGATATAGACTCCATATGTAGCTGATAAGGTTTATATTGCTAAATAAATCAAGGGAATTGACGATAGGAAAGTTAGAAGTCATCAAGTTTATCATGAAACTTTGTTAGGTTAGAAATAAAGACTTCTAATCCCTTCAAGAGGTTATATTTAAATGAAAAACGTATGGTTTCTCATTTCAGCGATGTCAATGTTTTTAAACAAACAGTAACAAAGATCAGCATGAAAAAGCACAGAAATACCAATGAAATTTTGGTCAATATGTTAAAACTGTGTTGCCTTCATTTGAGGTATTTCCTATGCCGCTGATAAAAAGAATCCAATAATTTTTCACTAATGTGACAGGCAAATTTCTAAAGTGCACATAAAATGGAATTATACATAATTTATATAAAATTCATAAGCTATTCATAAAGAATATAGGTCTCTGGTGTTTTTTTTATATAAAATGGGAATGCGAATTTTGTTTTACATCACCGTTTTATATTTCTCATAATATTAACAAGTTCAAAAATATGTTGTTGTAGAGACCGTATTGCTAAATAATATTTTTAAAATGAAAACTTTAAAGGAAGAAATTAGAGATCTTATGTCTTTGGATGTTCCAAAAAAATTAACTCATTTCATTTAGGTGAATGTTTAAAAGATTTTCACTGAAAGATAGCGAGAAATCTTCAGGTTCAAGTAGAATTTTAAAAAAAGATCGCGAATAACTGAGATTTGAAATTCTAGCTTGGCCGCTTTGTAACTTCACAAAATAAAATCAATATGTCAAATTTAAGCAGACAGATCATTTCATTTGATTTCTAATACGGACAACTAGATTTAAGTAGAAGTTTTCAAAACGCGTATTATGTAATCTATTTCTAACATACCCGAATCTAAAAGATAAATATATGTCATTATTAACAGTCTAATTTTGCAAATCTTTTCGTTCATAGTATAATGTTCATATTGTTAAACATTTGCGATCTTTTTTCAAATGTTATGTGAAGTTTGATTACGAAGTCGTAATAATGAAATACGACCGTCATGCTGTATGAATGGTATGTTTAAATCAAAGATCCCCCTAAACACCTGAGAAGACATCAAAAGGCCGGCCCTGATTACAGATTACTTCTAAATTCATGCACATTTACATATTTATTTCTTTGTAATGTATGCATTTTCACATTTGCTTTAGTTTTCTTCGGTGATTATGATCTTATCCATCTTGACCTTTGACCTATGCTCACTGCAATTCTTCTAAAGCCAAGCCACTTGTAACAACTGTCTTGCTCTGTTACAAAAATGGAGACACCTGTAATGCAGCTCATTGTGTAGGTTTTCTTGCATGAGGTCAGACAAGAAATATTTACATTTCTTTACAAATATTTGTACCGATATCGAGACCATATACGGAATCAGATGGCATTATGTTTGAGAGGAAATGGGCGGGAAAAAGTAAAATGTATTTATGAATACGAATAATTGTATCAGTGCCTTTTTACAGTGTTATTCCATCTCTGGTTTGTTTGAATGTGTAAACATTATCATTATTCTAACATGGAAAAGACTTGCGCTGTACATAGGCGCGTTTTGATAATAATAATAAAATGTGCAGTAAATATTTGAAAAAAAAAACACTATTTGAAAAGGATCAAACCCACATGTATTATCTGCATCTATGAGACCCTACTTCTGTTTAGACGTGTATCACTATTATGTCTGTTGATTTAAGCAAGGCTTTGTATATTGATAAAATTTGTAATGGAAAATGGCCATTTTCCTATATTTTGCAAATTAAATTTCTAAGGTCGATGAAAGATCAAGGTCACAGGTGAAAGCCTCTCCGGCGACCAAATACTCTCCTGTTTGGAACCCCTGTCATCGCCAGACAACCCAGAGCACGAGTCGAGTGTTGATTGCGGTTTTCAACACGATCTCTGGTTTGTTTTTCTATTACATAATAATATATGTTCAAGTCTGGGTTCATGCGACTTGTCTTTGACTCCAGATATTCCAGAGAGGCTTGAAGTGCCAGCACTTGGGCGTTCGGCGTTTGTCTGCTCTCCGGGTAACTACGGTACAGGGTCTGAGCTGAAGAATCTCGCCTCTATTACGGGTGATTTATGACATGGAGTGTTTGACATTTTGTATTTTATACAAGTTAACGTTCGGCGGGTTTACGGACGAGGTGACCTTCATAAGCTGCAAATGTCAAACATCAATGCAACATTAAATGTCCTCGGCGTTATGCATTTTTCACTTGGTATAAAATGAGAAGAGCGCCAGAGTCATGAAGTTATTAAATCTCCGTCAATATCACGTTATCTTCATGAGGCAATGCAAAAGAACATCAAAAACGTTTTTAACAATTTATAAACACTTTGAGGTTTCATAAAAAATGCACATAAAAGTAGAGAACTCCAAACATTGGTCACCCGTTAAATTGAATTTCCGCCTTGAAGCAGGTTGCAGGTCGACCTAATAAGATACTGATATTAGCTAGCGTAAAAGTGAAAGTAAAGAACTCAAGATGAATGAATCTATCCACCAAATCTTAATGAACGTCAAAAACAGACACTGTTTTTCTTTCATGAAACATTCTTTCATTTTTTATTGTCATTCCTTACAACAAAGTTGACGAAAAATAATTACAGGTTGCCAGAAGCTTCAGGGGTTGTACCCCGTTGTTACAGCTCGTCTCGCACAAATTCTCGGGGTACGAGACATTTGAACCCACTCCATGGGCGGTCAGCTGACAACTCTGTTATATACGAGGCTGTTCTTCACCACATATCATCCCAAACAAGAGATTCTTCAGGGGTCAACTAGGGTCACACTCCTTATGGCTTGCTCTCGACCCTAGAAATTTAAAATGAAGATAAGTTTAAGACCGACACGTAAGTTTAGCGGGTATTGACCTTTGAAAACATGTTTTAAATGTGTACACTTGACCTTAGGCTGTCTGTATATTTTGTTTCTTGAGTGTTTATACAACTGTAGTTTTTAGACCTTTTCAAGTACTCTCAGTGACCTGTTGCTTTAAAATATTTCAAGTATAACTTACGATTGACCAATTATGTTTCAGTGAACACACGACGTCAAGCTTGTTCATTTTCTAGATATGGCTAACTTTAATTCTAGAGGGACTCGAAATGTCACACAATTTTGATCTCTTTCCATAAACCCAACTACTTCCTCTTTATCCCTTACTTTTCTGATTTACATGGCAAATTGGATATCTTGGCAAACTTGATTTAATTTTACTTAATTGAACCACCTTTAGTGGGATTAACAAGATGACTGCATATACAAGTGACAAAGGTTAACTTATTTTGTTTAAGCTTCAACGAAAGGTAGAGCAATGGTCGAAAAACGTTGATATTTCTAATATAATACAACAAAATTTGTATTTATCTAATTAAAATTTAGCTGACAATAAATGGAGTTTAAAATGATAATGGAGATAGGAATTAAATAGATCCATTGAAACAACATGAATCGAGAAAAGAGCAAACACGGACTTCTAAAAATTTCAGAAGGGAGTCAGTTGCCATTGAGGAGTAAGTATCCCTGCCGAAAGGTCACACTTGGTCTGTGCTCCTTGTCATGGCATATGGAAATCCATAGATAATTCAGAGTGTAAATTATGGTCTAACTATTTTGTATGAAAAACCTCAGTCAGCATCCAACTAATGATTGATTATATTTTCTGACAAGATCATTGTAGGGACAATAGAACTTGGGAAGTGGTGTCTTTAAAAGAAACTGTTGATATCCTTATTACATTAATTTGTTTGTCTATAGCTTGCTTCCTTTTAGACAGTATTCGTACGGAGGGCTAGCTTCTGCGTATCGAATCAACTGGGAAACAGATTAACCTTTTTATGCAGGTGATGAGGGTTATATTACTATGAATATAAATATATACGGGAAGTAGACGATACGGAAGTGCAAATCATTAAGTATATCATAAAATTTTATATAAAGGGTTACCAATCAGGCCCTTTTCTAATAAAATATGTAACCAGAAGTCATTGATGAGACTGTAGCTCTACTGGTCTGTATGTATAACAAAGGAAAAGTAGCACTTGGAGTTGATACTTTGCAACAGGCAGCAATAAATAGAATTATGTATCTTAGTGTAGTCTACCTTTGTGCCAAGTTATATTAAAATCAGACCAAAACTGTAGGAGGAGTTGTTTTTTAAAGGAATTTCACAGAAATTTCTATTTTTAGTAACCATGGCAACACCGTTCACCCAAAACCAATGCACTAAGATATGTATCTTAGTGTAGTCTACTTGTGTGCCAAGTTATATTGAAATCATACCAAAACTGTATGAGGAGTAGCGTTTTAAAGATCTATCACAGAAATTTCTATTTTTAGTAACCATGGCAACATCGTTCATCGAAATCCGAAACCGATACACTAATTTATGTATCTTAGTGTAGTCTACTTGTGTGCCAAGTTATATTGAAATCAGACCTAATTTGTAGGAGGAGTAGCATTTTAAAGGAATTTCACACAAATTTCTATTTTTAGTAAACATGGCAACACCGTCCACCCAAATCAAAAAACCGATGCAGTTATCTACGTATCTTAGTGTAGTCTACTTATGTGCCAAGTTATATTGAAATCAGACCAAAACCGTAGGAGGAGTAGCATTTTGAAAAATGCATTACAACTTGTCGAGATGTTTTTTCCCCATTTCCACAATCCTTTTGTTCGATTCAGAGAGTAAAACAAAATTATTATCGCATTTAAGCTCTTCTGGTCTCTGACCAGTGAAGCTAAAAATGAAATAACTGCGTCCGACTCTGTGGTATCTTTTATTTGAATTAAACAAAGGTACATGTATAAATAGCGTCGCATACCAATGGAAAGAACTTAGGCCAAAGTTAAAGTTAGGCCAAAGTTAAAGGCCAAAGTAAGAGTTCTCATTCTCTTATGTATAATTTGAAAAAAAAATGTGCTTCACAAAAATAAGACTGTCATTCCGACAGATTGTTGAACGATTTGATATCCAGAAATTACATAAATATGGTCAAACAGAAACTCGGAGCATATTTTTTAACATCAACTTCGAGGATTTTGAATGGACGATCAAAATTTTTACCTAAGTGATTGAACAAGTTATCAATGACAAGGTAGAAAAATTAAGGAGTTCAATTTGTAATGAAGAGACAAGTGTATACGGTTTCAAAAATAATTAATCTTCATTTACAATGGTTGTATAAAGTTTTGAAAGGTCGTTTGTTTTGATGTTGTTAAATTTTGCAAAAATATTGTGATTTCAATTTGTCCCAATTTTTTTTCGTATTTTTTAAGTATCGTCATCTGATTTACACTTCTTCTTGAATACATATTCGTACAGTATCCTGGAATTTCTCCTTCACTTCTGTCAATATTCTTGTAAGGGTTAAGAAAGAGGCTTAGTAGAACATTCACTGGAACTCTCTGTATCTTTGTCTGTAAGGATTTTTATGAAGTTAAAGGGATTTTTATGAGTTAAGGAGTTAAAGCATTTGAATATAAATTAAAATTCAATTTAACTGTTAGGAAAAGTATTTAAGACATGCAGACATTATGAAGAGTTTTCTTCATAGAAAGGAAGCTATGGGTGTAAGATGGATGGACGATTTGCAGAATTAATCCCAGCTCCCCCAAAATGCAGTTTAAATTATGGTCGTTACAAACTTGTGCTAATTTTGTTACCTGCTTCTAATAAAGCTCAGAAATATTTAAATTGAGGAAAAATACCATTTTAAAAAATGTTTCATATATCTTTGTTTAAATACAATATTGAAATTTGGTTACAATTGCTTTTTTTTTTAAATAGTGAGGAACTGGCCCTTGCGATAAACAATCGTATCCCACTGCGGGACGTGGATACCAGTAATTTGGATGAGACTGCATAAAGCGAGGTCCCGTGTCGCAGTATGACACGTGATAAAGAATGACTCTGAGTGCCGAGTATATAGGTATGAACTTGTAGCCCTCCATCGGCCGGTGGCATCTCAGTTAGACTGGAATTCTCGAGAAGCACGTTAATCAACGAACAATTGTAATTTTTTTTTAAATATTTAAGATATGACACTCGATAAACAATTACTCACTGACTAAAGCTTAAATAGACTTTTGCATTTTAACGGTTAGTCTTCACATTTCATTTAGATTACCCAAAGATACATAATTCAGATTATACAGTGCACTATGCATTTATTGAAAACTACAAAGGCAAATGTGCGTTTTGTCGTTTATCTGTTTGGGCCAAGGGACATAAATTAATTTTGATTTAACATAGCTTTGTTATACCTTTTCATTTTTTTTTTACATACATGTATTTTGTACTGTCTTTTGTGATGAAACCTCAGGCCCGTCACTGTTGAACACCAACAAATGAAAATGAGATTTAGCTCCACTCATTCTGTGATGTAAGCGGTCCACATCTCATCGACCGGTCCAACATTTCACTCAGCGGTCAAACATCGATTTTTTATGCCCGCTCATCAAAACATTAGAAATGTTAGACTTTTTTTACGTATAGATATGTATAGTAACAAATTTTTAAAGGTATAACAATGTCTACTAATGTCTTATTGTTTTTCATTTCAATGATAAATGTTGCATGCCGTTGTTACCAGTATTACCGTATATATTTACATGAATTAACTAAAACAGTATTTTTAAAAAGCTTGCTCTTTTCATTTTTTTGACATGATTTTAGAAAAACTTTTAGAAAAAATGTTTTGTCATATGTATGTAATGTATAGCAAAATTTCCCCATTATATTGCTTTGCATGAATGTTGCAAAAAATAGAATCAAATCAAAATGTTTTCTTCATAATCTTTCTTTCATTCAATAATAAGCGCAGTGTAGACTTCATCAAGGACCATTACACACTTTGCAGTTTGCTTGTATGTTGTTTTATGTCCCATTCCAGAATTTATCACTCATACAGAGACACCACCACATACCGGTGGAGAGCTACAAATTTTTTTCCTATACGTAGCACTGCGAGTCATTGAGTATTGAGGAATCTTTTTCGTGCCACCACCTACTGCGACACGCGACCTCGGTTAATACAGTCTCATCCAAGGGAACGTTCTCCACGTCCAACATTGGCATTCGAACCCGCGATGTAAGGATCAACTCCTTACTTTGCGACTCTAAGCAGCAGACATCCTAACCACTGGGCCACACGGGCGAGCACACTTTGTAGCGTTTAAGTTTTTAATGATGTTGTCAGTTGCATTTACTGCAAGTTTGGTAAATTTGTACCTGCAAGTTTTTCCAGCAGTCATCTTTTTCTGTCATGATCAAGTCTACACCACATCAAGATACTTTACTTGATTGGTTTACCGTCTGCTTCATTGATTAAAGCTTTTCTATAGAGTTGCAGAGTAAGGAGCTGATTCTTACGTCGTGGGTTCGAATCCCGCACTGCGGGACGAGAGGACCGTTCTTCTAATTAGACCGTAAAAAACTGGGTTCCCCTGTTTCAGTAGGTGCAAGTGCGAAAAAGTGTTCTCACTGTTCAAAATGTCGAGTACATGTCTAAGTTAGTAGCCTTCAACCGGATATGGCGGAGGGACGTTAAACAACCAAACAATTTCAAAGAACAAATCTGATACTGTTAAACCTTTACTTAAGAAAAAAAAATCTTTAAATATTCAAGAGAAATTTGGTTGAAATATAGCTTTTACAAAGTTATGGAATCATCTACAATAAATCATTTCCATTTATAAAAAAAAAAACAAAAAAAAACGGTTCCCCTTCTGATTGTAATGTTCATGCATAGTATATGACACATGGCTTAAATATACTATACCATGACAGGTACATGATTCTCTGTACATACACCAATTTTCAATTGCTAAGGACTGGTTTATTTTAAAGAAATACTTAAGGTAGGATTCTTCTCTGGTTTCTGAGTAGATTAAATATTCAATTTATAATTTCTTATATGTCTTATATATTTAGGTGAAAGAGATTTGAAAGACCATATTTGTCTTTCCTCTTCAAAAATTGTACAACTTGAAATAGAAATGGTAAACTGTGTTCGAAAACTAGCAGGGACTATATTTTTAGCGGAATGGTGGCGTATGTAAATATCTTCTTTTCTGCCTCTCAAAATTATCATAGAACAACGAAATTAGTTATGAATTTTACACAATCAAAGACTTGGGTTTTTCAAATGTTAGCTTAATTAATAATAATGGACTAAAGTCTTAAAAAACATCAAATAAATACGATTTTCCAAACAAACTACAACTATGTTAGCTTTTAAAAGCTTCCAATCTAAGTACAGATATGAGCCAAAAATCCTAGAAAATGTTTATACTGTCTTACTAAACGGTCAAAACTTTTTGTTTTTTTGTATCATTTTGTATTTCTTTAAGACTTCTTTACCATATGAAAATAAGAAAAATTTAAATATAGGGTGCAAATAAAAATAACTAAAATATCCTAAAAATTTAAGAAAAAATAGATAAAATTCGGATTAGCCAAAATCCATTTTTGTTAAACTATTTGTGTCAATTTGGTAATATCATCCTATAGACCCTATATGGTAATATCTTTTTATGCAAAAAGAAAAACGTTTAATCTTTTGAAATAGAAGACCCTATCGCACATTTTTATTTTTAATGTCCAGGGAAAAGGACCTTCACCTGACCTTGACTCTCATATAAAAAGGTAAAAACTAATCTAACTGATACCATCACTTAGTAATATTGTCTTCTTGATTCTGTGAAAATTTCATTAATTTTTAAATACAAGAAATACAGTTTTGTGTGAGAAGAATCCTACCTTAATACAATTTTATATCATTATGCTAGTTTAGTCTGACCTTTTATAAAAAGTGTAAGGCAATACAGTATATAGTGTACATGTAGTCGTTCAAAGCCGCACTATTATGTAGATTTTTCAATCTAAATAGGCAAAAGAGCTACAGCCTAATGTGTAATATTCGAATAAATTAACTTTTTTTTGCTAATTTGGAAGTAGTACTAGTACTATTTTTTCGAACAAGATATATCTCAATTGGTAACCTTTTTGGTTTTTTTGAACCACTTTGCTAAAGACCTTTTTCTTATTGTTGTACTCATTTAATCTAGATTTAAAATCTATGAAGACAAACGCATATTGTTATTTAACTCCATTTGGAAATGATGCGTATTTAAACATTTTCTAAAACTATATTATCTTTGGTTCCAGACAACGGAAAAAACGTGCTAAGAAATATACAAGAAAACGGATGTTTTATTTCGCTGCAATACAAAACAGCGGATGTCCTCTTTGTGTCGCGCTCAATATCTTGCCGTGTTAATTTTAAAACACAACTAGCCATCTGCTACTTACGTGTATAACAACAGCAAGGATCAAAGACTAATGAAATGCCATTGTCCGATTCTTCACGAGGAATGTAGATTTTAATTGATCATAGAAAACATTTCTCATTTTTCATTTGTATTTAAGGATGGTGAGAAAGGGTAAATAAATTACGTAACAACTAGATTAATTTGTTTTCGTTTCAAGACGTCGAGATAATAAATTTAATTATTATTTGTGTTTTGTTTAATATCAAAAGAATAAAGATGTTTATTATCGTGATGTTCTTTGATAAAAATAGAAAAATCTGTTGTAATTTCAACTGAAAATGGGGATCAGTGGATTGTCCGATATTGTCATATTTCGGAAATTGTTTCGAAATTTCGAGAATTTCAGTATTAAGAGATCACTCCTTTACATTATTGTATGATATACACATGTAGATAGAAATACGTATATATGATTTCATCTTTATTCATTAATGAAGTTCCTAAAATAAAACTGATATATGCTTTCTGGTGGATAAAAACGGAACGGTGCCCGCTTTACTCCCTTTCATAACCAGAAATATACGTGATTAAATAATTGAATAATTTTTTAAATGCTTCATATTGCATTAATTATGATTGATCAAGAAATTAGGTTAAAATCACTGTCTTTTATTATCAGGTCCCCTGGCAAAGTTTTGGAATTCTAATGGGCACTATTATTGCTCCTATATAAGCCGATCTATTTTTATATCCCTATGAGGCAGAATTTATTTAAAAGATGAAAACACTTGCCTTGGATCTCGTCTCAGACTGGCTGTTCCCTTCAAGGAATCCTGGATCAACCACTTTAGTCCCTAATGGATTATTTTACATGTAGTAATAATAACAACTGGTTTTCCGCAATCAAGAAATTGGTTTTATATTAGTATATGGAACCATGGATATATTTATTTTGCTAAACGTTTTGGAGGTGTTTTCTTTCAATAACCTATAACTAATAATTTTCTCGATTTCGTTTTAATTATATCTGTTGAAAAGAGGGTCTTCTTTAATCATAACAAATTTGAAGTATCTCAATAAATGGCATGTATTTTGCATTTAAAGATAGGTGGTTGCATATTGGTCAAGTAATTTCAGAACTTTGGCTCAAGTTGGTTAACCAGTTATTTACCGCTAGGTACCAACTTGAAATAAAAGTGGGCGATGCTAAGATTGCATCATTTTATTTACAGCAAAGCAAATGTAAACATGGTCAAATTTACAAAGTGAAATGTTTCAAGCAAGATTCAAACACGGGCGATTACCAGACATAACTTGGGGGAAGTCCCTATCGAATTTGTAGCTTTTAATTTATAAAGTGCAGTTATGAAATTTGAAATTGTTCCCAATTATACCTTGCAAGTGATTGTTATGGTATTTTTATGCCTGTTAATAAATTATACATACATCTTTGAAATTCATACGGTATTTGTGTATATTTTGGATAAAAATTCTAATTAATGTTGAAATAATCCACCAATGTGACCCGACAGACTAATGTATTTTCACCAAATTAACAGTTCTTACATGCGAGGCTTGTCAAACTTCTGTCAAGGTTTACATCCATACAATTCAAAGGTGAGGAAAGTTGATCATCTTAATTTCAAATATTAACTTTTTTATTTCTCTCTCAAATGATTTATGACAGTTAATGAGTTTAGAAGTGCATAGAATCGTGGCTTTATGAATAAATCATTCAATATTTATTGCATATTATAAACTCTGTATATATATAATTTATGTACAATAATTTATATGTATAATGTATATAATTAGTATTCTAACAAATTATTAAAAGTTGAAATCAGTGTTTGTTTATATATTTTTTCAATTGTCATTTTTTAAACTTAAATGCCAACTGTATAAAGATAAGAAAGAAATTAAGTTTTGTGCACTAATAAATAAATGCTGGAATATTAAAAAGGTAAAGACTTCATGACAGATAAATACATTTCAATATTTTTTAATGAGTGTATCCTATACATGAAGTTCTATATACAACAGTTACGGAAAATAATAGTAATGTGAAGGTCGCACGTATTATTCTAATCTTGACTCAATAAATAATCATTTTGTT